AGGGATAACGTTTTACCCTAAAAAAAATGCAAAAGAAACCAATGCAGTTTGGTTCAGTGATAAATATATCAAACAAAATCATACCCAAAATCGGGGAATTTTCTGAGAACGATATCTCGTAATCAGTGTGTTTTACTATTTACTCGTTGGATTATAAATGATTTCTTCCTCAAACACAGAGTGGTTATGCAAGCGAAATGTGCCGAAAAATCGAATTTGACAAACATCAATTAAAAAAAAAAGAAGCATTTTTTATATGGTGCCGGGCGTTTCTTTCATAATGGCCGCCAAATTTGGTAATATTATTATTATTATTACAGCATATTTCTAGCGCGCCCTTTCATAAAACATGTTCAGGGCACTTTTCAAAGTGACAATGTAATCATAAATAAACAACAAGATTATGGACATGTTAACAATTGTATACAGAGTCAGTTAAAAGCCTCATTAAATAAATGTGATTAAAGTTGTTTTTTAAAACAATATAGAGATGTACAACATCTTAAACTAAATGGTAGATTATCCCATAAAACAGGTGCTTGATAACTAAAAGAGCGCTGACCAGAAGAGACTAGTTGAACAGTTTTGGGCTTTAAAAGTAGTTTATCTGATGTACGTAATATCGTGGTTATGTACGCGAAATGTGCGGAAATCAAATTTGACAAACATCAATTAAAGAAATGTATTTTCCATGTGGTGCCGGGCATTTCTTTTAAAATGGCTGCCGAATTTGGTAACAAAGGCAATTTAACAAAAAAACCATAAATTTGGTAGACTAAAAGGGCATCTCTTAAGATACGTAAGATATGACTTTTGCTATGTCCTTTATATGGTTTTCGATGTCTCTGAATTTGAAGATAAATTTTGAAAATACAAAATAGCAGCAACACAAATTGGCGGATATTAAATTAATCGTCATTTTTCCTGTGGGATATTAGATAGTGTCTCTAAAGCATGATGTATACTGTAGTTCGATGTACCCTGTAGTTCAAATACAGTCTCCAAACCGTGTTTAAACTGTAGTTTGGGTGTAGTTCGTCAAATGAAGATGAATTTTACGATATATCCATCCTGAATTAACAAAAAAATGAATATATTGTAAACGCGCTTTAAATATCTGGATGCGATAGACTTCGTGATAAAAAATTCAAGGTACATTATATCATTGGCAATAATAAGATCCAATTTTAGTTTTTAGTTACACACTGTTAACCACCAATAGATGTTTTAATGACAATAAATCCTAAAATGTATTCAGCTCGACGTAAGACTTAAATACAGATATAGATACAGTTGGTTTAACTTGAATAGAGATTTTAATTATCAATGCATATATCACATTACAGTCGAATCACATTACATATCTTTTTAGTTGATGTTCATATCGTCTTACGTATTTGTCAACATCAAGGTGAACTTGCTCTATTGTCCGATTAGCCTATTCAGACTTGTTTCCATGAATTTACTCACCCCACCCTCGCATAGTTATGAATTTATTGTTTCACTTGACTAAAGAAACATTTTATAGGAATGTATGCTTTTATAGATTGAAAACTTGTTTGCGATATCATTGTCGGTGGAAACTGGCACTATACCTAAAGAATGATTGAACAAATAGCGGAGACGGGGTTTCAGCCGGCTGATTTAAATTATTTCTTTAAATACAGTAAAGCTTGAAATATGTCAGTTTTCACTCTTTAGAATGTTTTTGTAAATAAGTTTTTATTGTAGTTTCCGTGGCGTATTCCCAATAAGCGTTAGAAACAAAGATATATATCCTTAATCCCGGTGTCGATAAATGTTGGGTTGTGTGGAACATGCTAACAAATCTCAGGTACGATATATGTTTGATTCTGGTTGAGAACAGCATGAGAGCAACATGATTGTTTTCAGTGGAGATGAGACGCAAATATTCAAAGGGGTCAGACAAACTCTAAACCAACCGCGTTCCCTTCACTGAGTCCCTTCAAAGGAGGCCCTGTCTGTCTACCTGTGGAATAACATGCATTTGTATCTGTTAAATTTGTGTGGTAGACAGATTGATATTATTTATACATAGGCGGGAAGTGATAACGTCTTACCCCAAACAAATTGCAAAAGAAACCATGAAGTTTGTGAGAGCGATATTTCGTAATTAGTGTGTTTTAATGGTGGGGGAATAAACAATTTCTTTTTAAATTTTTCAAACACAAACTGGTCATAGAGGCGAAATGTGCTGAAAACCGAATTTGACAAAAATCAAAAAATGTATTTTTCACATGTATGGCGCCGGGCATTTCTTTCAAAATGACTGTCGGGGGATTTGTTGGGGCCAGTGTTTAAAATTTACGTCGGTCCGTCGGCCGACATTTGGCGGGCCGACATCTTTTTATTTTGAAGATGGTGGGTCGGCCCTGTGAGCCGACTGTTTTTGTCGGGAAAAATATGTGTCATGGATATTTTGTTCATGGTACTATCAAATTCTCCTTTGAAAATATTTATATTGTCCCTATCCGTAGTATATTTCATCCAGATATTTAACTGTATTTCATTATCGGAAATGAAAATAAAATTGTCCACCTAAAGAAATCGTGAGTGAGTGAGGTTGTACTTGAAAATATCAGCACGCTCCCAGAGTTAGGCAGAATATTATTTAACCATTTTGATCAAGTATGGAATAGATGAATGTGTGTTCCGATAGTATGCCTTACTTATTGTCTTATTTGTCTTTATCCGATATTGAATACACACATGCATAATCCGACATATTATAATTCCTTCAATTGTGAAATCCAAACGTGTGCTACTAAACTAGGTCAGTCCATCTACTGTACTGTCATGAATCCAATAATAAAAATTCACATGATATAAATTCTTTGTCTTGTAAAAATGAAATTGAAAAAAGCAGAGCTGAAAATTCCCTGAAAGCCTAACTACTGGTAACAATATAATTCCAGTGATGTAAAAACGAGTGGCCTTTCCCGCCATTCTTTCTAAATCTCGTAATTTACTAGCAGACTTGATTATCAAGTCTATTTCTTTAATGACGATTTCACTACCGTAATGGAGACCCAAGTCTTCGAAAACAGGCACGTACAATATGTCATATATGGAAAGAATAACAAAGAGTTTATGGTTTCATAAATATGAACTATCCCAACGTGTGACATCAGGTCAGTTTAATAATGATAAAAAATGATGTGTCGTCTGTCAAACAGCAGTGATAGTTTACTTTCATTTTGAAAGGGGTCACGGTCTTTCATTTCACAGTTCCACACGTCATGATGAATGAAACAAATAAAATGATTGTTGCTACCGGACAGTAAATTTAACATGTTTATTGAAATGTAAGACATTAATCTATGTCTGGAAGGACCTGAAGGCCAGTTTTATTTCATTTCATTCAAATGAACAATATTTTCTGTTAATTTTCGGAGAGTGTAAAGGGCCATTTTAATACGTAATCTTCAGATTTCTATGTGAATGGAATTTCGAGATATTATATTGTCAGTACTAATAGACCTATATATAATCATTAAGATTATTACAACTACAAGTAAATATTTATTTATTACAGAAAATATAAATATCAAGTCTGGGTAAAATAGGGGTGGAATGATTTTTATCTTTCTATACACAAAGTATTAACATTAAATCCTTCAAAAGTTAAATTTGTAAAGTGTACAGCCAATCAATATTGCATACATATTTTAACTTTTAAACCTGACCCAAATGGCTAGAACTTAGAAATAAAGGCATTTGGGGTGGGGTAGTGTACGTGTGTTATTTTAATATTTCTTGGGCCCACAACTTAATGTTAGGACCTACAACTTTCGTGAATGGCGTCTACCAGGGAGTCCTATTGGCCTACAACTTTTCTTAACGAATTTTATACACTGGTTGGGGCCTGTCTCCCCCAGAAAATTTCTAGAAATTTCAAGTCGGTCTTGCCAGGCCGTGAATACGGCAACCTGGAAGTGGTCGATTTTAATGTAGACATCTGAACTCCAATCAACAAATCAATCAACCAGGCTGTTGTCGTTGCATTCACATGACACCAGACGTGTCACCGATGAAACAAATATGCCTGAAACAAATGTCGCTGTTAGTGCGACCCATTTGTGACAATTTCTAGGTCCCAAATATTAGCGATTTAGCTCCTTTAAAAGCGAATGCAAGTTAAATATGTTTAATAGTACTTTTATCTAGTGTATCTTTTATTTTGATTTTTCTTATAGAATAAGGCTATATAACAATAATGTGCGCTTCTTGTTGTATAATACTAATAATAGTATGTTCAGCTATACTTTTCGTTTAAAAAATGTATGTTTTATGTCCTATAGACACTTATTCGCTGAAATCTATGACATCCAACAATATAATATGGCATATAAATAGATAATAAGTTTGCATGACGTCATATGAAATTCCTGGCTTCACAGTTGTCGCAACTTTATCTATACACGGCGTTGCGTCGACCAACCATGCAATGTGAAGTAGATGTCAATATGGTTATGTGTAAAAATATTAAGTTCAATATATTCACGGTGTATGATTTTATTCATACTTCAATTTTAGTGAGTTAATTCTGCAACGTTTTTAGAAAAAATTGCTAATAATTTGGCCAGTACTATATTCCAGGACAAAATGTCTGTACAGATGGGTGGAGAGAGAGAGAAATGGGGTTTAACATCCACTAGCCACAAATTATGTCATTACGGGACTAACATATGGTACACCTTTTATTTCCATAATTCGATTGCGCATAGCGGTTTCAGCAGTGATGGAGATGGTGGTGTGTGTGTTTGTTGTTGGGAGAGGGTAGGTCCCTCTATAAATCCCACGGGGCTGCACAGGCTTTATAAATCTAAAGCGCATGCGTTAGACACTCAACCACCAAATCCACAACAGATGGACGGATTACGGTAGCATGCGAAGTCAATATACGTTCATAGTAAATATGGGCTTATAACATGTTTTACACATGGTTTCTATTATGGTATAAAGCAGTAAACACAATATCAAGTTTAAAATACAATAGACATTTTAATATAATATTATATAAAACTATAGCGAAATAAAAAAAACGTGTAAAGAGTAAAGTTAATATTCAAAACTATAAAACAACAATTATATAGGCGATTAGACTTGGTTTCATGATAAATGGGAGGTGTTTTTCAATCTGTAATTTTAATTTAGTTATTACTGACACGCTTTTCACTGGCCTAGTATGGATTTTGCAGTCGGATACGTTACAGACATATAATTTTTACTGACCTTACATGTATTTTGATCTGTTTGTATATATGTTCATGTTCATTTAATGAAAAATAATTTAGAGACAACAAGTTCATGACTGTTTATCATCGGGCTACCAATTAATTCGAGACAACCAAAGCATATTGGTGCGTAAAGCAAAATAATTAGTGATAACACTAAGCTCATTAATGCTTGTTTGATTGATGAATATCCAAATATAAATTCCTTTATATACATACAAGACTTTACGCTCTAAGGTATTGTGTTTTCGGTTTTAGAATACAATAGAATAATGTAGGAATTCAATTCTGAGTTTGATCAGAAATAAAAAAAAAGAGAAACAAAATTCAAAACCGTTCCGGATTCATTTAAATCAAAATATGAGGCAGTATTCCAGGGATGAAATTGCTGGTACACCAAAAAATAACAAGTAATAATTATTTACGTGGATCACAACAGAATCTAACTTTATAATCATTACAGCTTCCATCATTTTGATTTTTATTTATACAAATTAAACCAGTGGTTGGATTAATAGTAACTTTATCACCACCAGCAGTATAAGGTCGACCATCTAATAATTGAGCATCTATTGCTGATGGTTTCTCACAAATCTGGCCTGGATTCTCTTTACGAAGATCTTTAAGAGTTTCCCAATCACCAGTACCCGATACATTATCTCTATCGTACCACCCTGTCCATTTATTACACTCAGGTGCTACAACGACTGAAATAAAATATATTTAGAATATTTAAACTATATACGGTGATGGTAGGGAGACTTTTTAGCCCGGACGTCACACTCCAAATACATCTTAAGGGACGCGGTCTTCGTAACGTGGACGTCATACGATTAGCATTATTCTCTCATAATGTAACTATATTTGAGAGAACATGTCAAAAGCATAATAATTTAAATCATTTAACATTCGACAGTAAGATAGAGACATTTCGAATTCAACATTGTCTGAGAGACAAAACATTACAAATGAAATATTGATGGTTGACAATCCTATCAGTTACAAATGCTCCACTGTTGACTAAAAACATTCCATTGCAGATTATGTCTATATAAGGTATAATATACTCTTCAAGAAAAGTAGGGGATATTCAGAAACAATACAAAACTACGGAAATGCACTGCTGTTTTTATTAGAGGTAATCAGTGTATGTTAATAACAGGCCAATTGCCTACACATGAACATAAACAGTTCATATGGGCGGCTTATCTGACGGCCCCATTTCACTCGCAAAGAGATACACTGTCAAAAGTGAAAAGGGATGTTTTTGATTTTTGTCTTAATAATGAATAATTGCTCCACCAATCCTCAGACATTCAGCAATTCGTCGTGGCATGCTCCTAATCAACCGTCCAATCACGATTTGGGGCAATCTGACCCACTCCTCTAGCAGTGCCACGGCCAATTCTTGCAGTGTTGTCGGTTGACGTTGACGTCGGCGAACACGTCTCCCGATCATGTCCCAGGGGAAAGGTCAGGACTCATGGCTGGCCAAGGCAGATGGACAATATGGTGATGGTGGAGGTAGTCATTCACGGTGGGCACGGGCATTATCATCTTGAAAAATGAAACGTCGACCTGCACGTTGAGCAAAGGGCAGAACTATCGGTGTCAGGATGTGGCCACGGTAGTACACACCAATATGCTTGAACAATATGCTATTCCGTTCTGCCAGTCATGGTGATTCCTCCCCACACCATAACAGACCCATCCCCGAATCTGTCATGCTGTTTGGCGTTAACGTTAACATGACGCTCATTTACACGCCTCCAAACGCGAGCACGCCTATCAGTGTAATCCAGAGTAAATCTGGACTCATCTGAGTACATTACACGCGCCCATCGACGATTACCCCAATTTCTACGATGCCTACATCACTGACGCCTGTTTGTCTTGTGCTGGCGAGTTAATGGAGGCACAGCACGCGGTCGTCGCGCATGCAAATGGGCTGCATGTAGCCGATTTCTAATTGTTTAGGGGGTAACTCGAATTCCTGTAACTCGGTACAAGTTTACAGAAAGCTGATTGGCCGTTTGTCCTCGATTTCGCAGGACCTGTGCACGAATGTATCGATCCTGGGCATGTGTAGTGGCTCTAGGCCGACTGGAACGCGGTCTATCATCAATATTGTGTGTTTATTGGTACCGGTTCCACAGTCTGCTGATCACAGACTGTGACACATTAAGCATGTTGGCTACTGCTCGCTGTGTAGAACCCATTTGAAGCATGCCAATAGCACGTAGACCTTCATCATGGCGAAGACGTCTCATTGCAAATTAAACGTAACACACTAAAGCAAAGATAGGCTAAACAGTAAATCTTATTGGAAAGCAAACATGGATAGAATAAACCAGCACGCGGCAGTTTTCATCAACCCTTCCTTGAAGTGTCAAATTTGACAATGAACCCCTCCCACGTGTATGGCGCTATTGCGTGTCGCACATGCATTCAGTGGTTCTGTTGGGGCGATAAGTTCTTCATCTGTGAACATACTCTCAAAGCATGTCAAGTGTCGGTTGACGTTGACGTCGACGAACACGTCTCCCGATCATATACCAGACATGCTCTATAGGGGAAAGGTCAGGACTCATAGCTGGCCAAGGCATATGGACAATATGGTGATGGTGGAGGTAGTCATTCACGACACGAGCGCGGTGAGCACGGGCATTATCATCTTGAAAAATGAAACGTCGACCTGCACGTTGAGCAAAGGGCAGAACTATTGGTGCCAGGATGTGGTCACGGTAGTACACACCAGTGACCCTTCCTTGAACAATATGCAATTCCGTACTGCCAGTCATGGTGATTCCTCCCCACACCATAACAGACCCACGCCCGAATCTGTCATGCTGTCTGACGTTAACGTTAACAGGACGGTCATTTACACGCCTCCAAACGCGAGCACGCCTATCGGTGTAATCCAGAGTAAATCTGGACTCATCTGAGTACATTTCACGCGCCCATCGACGATTACCCCAATTTCTGCCTACACCACTGACGCCTGTTTGCCTTGTGCTGGCAAGTTAATGGAGGCACAACACGCGGTCGTCGCGCATGCAAATGGGCTGCATGTAGCCGAATTCTAATTGCTGGGGTGTAACTCGAATTCCTGTAACTCAGGACAAGTTTAAAGAAAGCTGATTGGCCGTTTGTCCTCGATTTCGCACGACCTGTGTCGATCCAGGGCTTGTGTAGTGGCTCTAGGACGACCCGAACGCGGTCTATCATCAACATTGTGTGTTTGTTGATACCGATTCCACAGTATGCTGATCACAGACTGTGACACATTAAGCATGTTGGCTACTGCTCGCTGTGTAGAACCCATTTGAAGCATGCCAATAGCACGTAGACGTTCATCATGGCGAAGACGTCTCATTGCAAATTAAACGTAACACACTAAAGCAAAGATATGCTAAACAGTAAATATTATGCAAGAACCGATAGGAAAGCAAACATGGATAGAATAAACCAGCACGCGGCAGTTTTCATCAACCCTTCCTTGAAGTGTCAAATTTGACAATGAACCCCTCCCACGTGTATGGCGCTATTGCGTGTCGCACATGCATTCAGTGGTTCTGTTGGGGCGATAAGTTCTTCATCTGTGAACATACTCTCAAAGCATGTCAAGTGTCCATGACTATTTATCATATCACAACCTGCATAGGTATTTGCATTTCAATATTCCCTACATTTTTTTAAGAGTATATTATAGCCCTGTTGCGGCAATTTTGCTCAGCATATCGACATAAATTATGTAAGCCTTGCATATGGGTTAACTGGTGGCTATATTAACACGATAGACTGACAGCTGTGGTATGTGTCAGTGTATTCATGGAAAGGTTATACAGGTGAAATTAAAATAGATATGTTTATGAGAAAGTTAAACACTAAAAGGTAACTTACTAGGATCACAACAGAATCTAACTTTATAATCATTACAGCTTCCATCATTTTGATTTTTATTTATACAAATTAAACCAGTGGTTGGATTAATAGTAACTTTATCACCACCAGCAGTATAAGGTCGACCATCTAATAATTGAGCATCTATTGCTGATGGTTTTTCACAAATCTGGCCTGGATTCTCTTTACGAAGATCTTTAAGAGTTTCCCAATCACCAGTACCCGATACATTATCTCTATCGTACCACCCTGTCCATTTATTACACTCAGGTGCTACAACGACTGAAATAAAATATATTTAGAATATTTAAACTATATACGATGATGGTAGAGACCTTTTAGCCCGGACGTCACACTACATATACATCTCAAGGAAGGGACATCATACGATTAGCGTTATCCTCTCATTGTGTTACTATATTTGATAATTTAAATCATTTAACTTCCGGCAGTAAGATAGAGACATATCGAATTCAACTGCGACGAATAGACAAAACATTACAAATGAAATATTGATGGTTGACAATCCTATCAGTTACCAATGCTCCACTGTTGACTAAAAACATTCCATTGCAGATTAAGTCTATATAAGGTATAATATGCTCTTCAAGAAAAGTAGGGGATATCCAGAAACAATACAAAACTGCGGAAATGCACTGCTGTTTTTATTAGAGGTAACCACTGTATGTTAATAACAGGCCAATTGCCTACACATGAACATAAACAGTTCATATGGGCGGCTTATCTGACGGCCCCATTTCACTCGCAAAGAGATACACTGTCAAAAGTGAAAAGGGGCGTTTTTGATTTTTGTCTTAATAATGAATAATTGCTCCACCAATCCTCAGACATTCAGCAATTCGTCGTGGCATGCTCCTAATCAACCATCCAATCACGATTTGAGGCAATCTAACCCACTCCTCTTGCAGTGCCACGGCCAATACTTGCAGGGTTGTCGGTTGACGTTGACGTCGACGAACACGTCTCCCGATCATATACCAGACATGCTCTATAGGGGAAAGGTCAGGACTCATAGCTGGCCAAGGCATATGGACAATATGGTGATGGTGGAGGTAGTCATTCACGACACGAGCGCGGTGAGCACGGGCATTATCATCTTGAAAAATGAAACGTCGACCTGCACGTTGAGCAAAGGGCAGAACTATTGGTGCCAGGATGTGGTCACGGTAGTACACACCAGTGACCCTTCCTTGAACAATATGCAATTCCGTACTCCCAGTCATGGTGATTCCTCCCCACACCATAACAGACCCACGCCCGAATCTGTCATGATAAGTTCTTCATCTGTGAACATACTCTCAAAGCATGTCAAGTGTCCATGACTATTTATCATATCACAACCTGCATAGGTATTTGCATTTCAATATTCCCTACATTTTTTTAAGAGTATATTATAGCCCTGTTGCAGCAATTTTGCTCAGCATATCGACATAAATTATGTAAGCCTTGCATATGGGTTAACTGGTGGCTATATTAACACGATAGACTGACAGCTGTGGTATGTGTCAGTGTATTCATGGAAAGGTTATACTGGTGAAATTAAAATAGATATGTTTATGAGAAAGTTAAACACTAAAAGGTAACTTACTAGGATCACAACAGAATCTAACTTTATAATCATTACAGCTTCCATCATTTTGATTTTTATTTATACAAATTAAACCAGTGGTTGGATTAATAGTAACTTTATCACCACCAGCAGTATAAGGTCGACCATCTAATAATTGAGCATCTATTGCTGATGGTTTTTCACAAATCTGGCCTGGATTCTCTTTACGAAGATCTTCAAGAGTTTCCCAATCACCAGTACCCGATACATTATCTCTATCGTACCACCCTGTCCATTTATTACACTCAGGTGCTACAACGACTGAAATAAAATATATTTAGAATATTTAAACTATATACGATGATGGTAGAGACCTTTTAGCCCGGACGTCACACTACATATACATCTTAAGGAAGGGACATCATACGATTAGCGTTATCCTCTCATTATGTTACTATATTTGATAATTTAAATCATTTAACATTCGGCAGTAAGATAGAGACATATCGAATTCAACTGCGACGAATAGACAAAACATTACAAATGAAATATTGATGGTTGACAATCCTATCAGTTACCAATGCTCCACTGTTGACTAAAAACATTCCATTGCAGATTAAGTCTATGTAAGGTATTATATACTCTTTAAGAAAAGTAGGATATATTCAGAAACAATACAAAACTGCGGAAATGCATTGCTGTTTTTATTAGAGGTAACCAGTGTATGTTAATAACAGGCCAATTGCCTACACATGAACATAAACAGTTCATATGGGCGGCTTATCTGACGGCCCCATTTCACTCGCAAAGAGATACACTGTCAAAAGTGAAAATGGACGTTTCTGATTTTTGTCTTAATAATGAGTATTACTCCACCAATCCTCAGACATTCAGCAATTCGTCGTGGCATGCTCCTAATCAACCGTCCAATCACGATTTGGGGCAATCTGACCCACTCCATTTGCAGTGCCACGGCCAATTCTTGCCGTGTTGTTGGTTGACGTTGACGAACACATCTCCCGATCAAATTAAATGTAACATACTAAAGCAAAGATACGCTAAACAGTAAATATTATGCAAGAACCGATAGGAAAGCAAACATGGACAGATAAACCAGCACGCGGCAGTTTTCATCAACCCTTCCTTGAAGTGTTAAATTTGACAATGAAACCACGTGTATAGCGCTATTGCGTGTCGCATGTGCCGCTCTGTGGTTCTGTTGGGTCGATAAGTTCTTCATCTGTGAACATACTCTCAAAGCATGTCTGGTGTTACAACCTGCATAGGTATTTGCATTTTAATATCCCCTACTTTTTTGAAGAGTATATCGTGCCTGTGATTTGTTACAAATCGCCTCGAGCATGTTCCACACATCTCAACATTTATCAGCTTTTTGTTTAATCTATAAAACCCTACATTCCTAAACAATGTTTTGTTTAGTCAAGTGAAAGAAGAAAATGTATTGGCTAAATGGAACTATAGAACACGTACACCTTAATGTTTACAAATACGTAAAAATATGCAAATAAGATATTCCTATGATATGATTCAACCGAAAGGTCCTATATACGCATGATATAATATCTACATTCAAGTTAAACGAACCGCATCTATTCATTTTAAATCTTGCGTCGAGCTGAATAAATAATGTGATTTGTAACATCTACGGGTGGTTAACAGTGTATAACTAAAAACTATGATTAGATCTTTATTGCCAACATTTCAATGTAGCTTGAATTTTCTACACCTTGTCTATGGATCTAGATGTTTAAAGCGCGTTTGAGATTATCGCTGCCCTTTTATAACCAAATTAATGGGGGGTTTTTTTCATTTTTTTTAAAAATTTGGCAGTCATTTTGAAAGAAATGCCCGCCATCAAATGAAAAATACATTTTTAAATTGATGTTTGTCAAATTCGATTTTTCGACACACTTCGCTTGCATAACCACTCTGTGTTTGAGGAATTTAAAAATAAATTATTTATCCTACCACGACTGAAAGACACTGATTACGATATAGCGCTCTCGAAAATTCCTGAAGAACGCCAAATTGAATTATGTTAATCATGTAATTTTGCCATGGCCGATTTTGAGTATGATTTTGTCTGACATATTATCATTGAACCAAACTGCATTGGTTTCTTTTGCAATTTTTTTAGGATAAATTATAGCCCGTAAATCGTTATACCAAGAAAAAAAAAAACTTTTTTGTTAAAACATACATTATGCAAGAGCTAAATCTAATTATTGCAAGTCTTTATTTAGGCTTCATATGTCATAGAAATTATAAATTATATCTTTATTACACAACAAGCACAAAATCAACTCTGTAGACCCACGGATGGCTTGGATTTAACGGGATTTCGTTGACTGATTTAATTTTAAATGGCGTCGTGAGCGGAGATTAACCGTTACGTTGACGTCATACTCCGGGATCGAGGCTAAATGATAGAGTGTACGAAGCGAGGCCGCTGTTGAGCGATGCCTTAACAAATGACATCTAAACTATTTAAAGTGCAATAAACTAAACACAGATAATGACAAATTATACAATTCCTTGAGACCGTGTGATGACTAATACAGACGGACAGGTCTTCTGTCTTAATAATATCAATAAAAATATTTTCCCCAATAGGCACGACGCCACTGGTGTAGATTTATCATAATTGTATTAGAATGTCCTATATTCAATTGATTTAATGCATGCCCAAAATACAAGTAAGAATGAAAATTTACCCTCTCACTCATTTTGTCCAATTGTTATAAAAATCCAAAAAGGTAAAACACAAATTCGGATATGATGACAGGAGACAAAAGACAGCAGAGATTACGTAGGTGGAGTTAACGCCTGTCAATCAAACGATCGGTCATACTAAGAATCGGTAATGATGTAATCCAATCCCATTTCTAGTCAAAAATTACACTGGTGATAACTATTTTCAGAATAAAGTAATTTGACTGAAATTTTCAATATACTCTTCTTTCATCATCTATTTTTGAACTGTTATAGCAAGAATGGCTAACTCCTTATAAAAATCTCCCATAATGTATCTTTAAGTAAAGCTATATGACGCCATGACGTCATAGTTTTTGTGGCGTCATAGTTGGGACCCAAAATGGCGCCTGTAAATGACGTCTCATTGCTAAACAGTAAATCTTATGCAAGAACCGATAGGAAAGCAAACATGGATAGAATAAACCAGCACGCGGCAGTTTTCATCAACCCTTCCTTGAAGTGTCAAATTTGACAATGAACCCCTCCCACGTGTATGGCGCTATTGCGTGTCGCATTAGCACTCAGTGGTTCCGTTTGGGCGATAAGCTCTTCATCTGTGAACATACTCTCACAGCATGTCAAGGGTCCATGACTATTTATCATATCACAACCTGCATAGGTATTTGCATTTCAATATCCCCTACATTTTTTAAGAGTATATTATAGCCCTGTCGCGGCAATTTTGCTCAGCATATCGACATAAATTATGTAAGCCGAGCATATGGGTTAACTGGTGGCTCAATCTGATTAAAATACAGATCTATATTTAATTTCATTTCGTTTTTTTTATACTTTCGATGGCCTACACTACATAAAGATCTGACAAGTTATAGCGATAGGTCACGTCAGGGGTCAAAAGACAGACTTATGACCCTATGATGTCAGACATTTGATTAACCAATCAGAATTGATGTTACTAGTGGATTACCCACAGTTCCGTGCAAAACACGCCTAAAGCTCGCCGTGACAGACCGTTTCATTGGCTTATCCCTGACACCATTCAGAACACGAGTTAAATAACAACTCTTCCAGATCCAAGTGTAGTAAAGACAAGTAAAATGAAATTTTGAACTATAAAAACGAAACGAAATAGGATCTGTGTTTTAATCAGATTGCTGGTGGCTATATTATCACGATAGACTGACAGCTGTGGTATGTGTCAGTGTATTCATGGAAACGTTAAACACTAAAAGGTAACTTACTAGGATCACAACAGAATCTAACTTTATAATCATTACAGCTTCCATCATTTTGATTTTTATTTATACAAATTAAACCAGTGGTTGGATTAATAGTAACTTTATCACCACCAGCAGTATAAGGTCGACCATCTAATAATTGAGCATCTATTGCTGATGGTTGTTCACAAATCTGGCCTGGATTCTCTTTACGAAGATCTTTAAGAGTTTCCCAATCACCAGTACCCGATACATTATCTCTATCGTACCACCCTGTCCATTTATTACACTCAGGTGCTACAACGACTGAAATAAAATATATTTAGAATATTCAAACAATATATAATGATGGAAGGACGTCTTTTTAACCGGGACGATATGCGAAATATCATTTTATCATACTGTAACTATTTGTGAGAGAATCTGTCCATGGCATGCTATAATTTGAATCCTGTGGGAGCTATTTCAAATACAACGTTATCTGGGAGACAATACCTTTCAAATCAAAATCAAATATAGTACCACCTATCTTTCAGATCAATCCAACTAGAACATGTGTTCTAGACAGTGTAAACATAATCTACTTCGTTCACATCAACCATCACTACAATATATGTAATCTGTACAGTAAAATGGAACTTACTTGGATCACAACAGAATCTAACTTTATAATTATTACATCTTTTATCATTTTGATCTGTATTTTTACAAATTAAACCAGTAGTTGGAGAAATAGTAACTTTATCACCACCAGCAGTATAAGGTCGACCATCTAATAATTGAGCATCTATTGCTGATGGCTTTTCACAAATCTGGCCTGGATTCTCTTTACGAAGATCTTTAAGAGTTTCCCAATCACCAGTCCCTGTCTGTGTATCTCTATTATACCATTTTGTCCATTTGGTGCATTTAGTCTGAGATGCTGAAAATATACATTTTACTTTGTAGAATGTAGAGTGAGGATGGGCGTAAAGCAAAATATAATGTCGTTCCTTCTACACACCTTAGATCAACAAATCGCAGCTTTATACTAGAAATCAGATGATAACCTCTGTTTATCCAAATTTCTATTTAAATTTCCTTTCCAACCAACATAGTATGAGACAATACTATTGAATGCAAATGTTCAGTAGGGCGTAACGAGATATACTTGTTATTAACACGAGATCATTGATCAACGATGTGTTTTAAGTCTTCTCAAATTAATATGGGAACATTGATAAAACTTGTATTGCCGATCTTAATACATTTATGTTCAATTTTTATTTAAAAATCCGTAAGAGATCTAACGTTAACATTCTGATATCGACATGTTCGCGTTGTTGATTTTATGGACAAGTTGATTTAATTACGATTATTTACATAAGAAGGAGTAATAAAAAAGGGTAAAAATATAAAAAAAAGTTCTTGTGTATAATAATATCACTTAAAATTCGCTGCCCTGAGAAGATAGGGCGGGACATCTACTGATTTCATCATAATAATATCAAGACAAGAAATATGTCCAGCCGATTGATGTTAGGTATCGATAATTCGGATAGGAAACAGCTCTGGGAAAAGAATCTGCTTACTTTATGTGGAAAAGCTAAGAACAAAATCATATAGCCGATTATTCACAAATTAACTCAATATGGTTAAAAATTAAAAAAAATCCTTTGACGCAGTTCACCACTTCAACGATTAAAATCATATACATTCTGTGTTTGTTAGAGGACGGGGTATTTATATATAGAATATATTTAATTGGCTCCATTGCGAAAAATAAATATAATTGAAGGTATTACATCCACAAGAACGTATGTCTAATTAATATAAATCATAAACGTATTAAAGTAATTGTAATTGAATCGACCCCAGTGTGCTTCCTTAAGATATTTAACCTGGCAAGTTGTAAAAACTTAAGCTTTTTTAATGAGAGAGAAGAGAGAGAGAATGGGGTTTAACGCCCACTCGACACAAACTAGGTCATTACGTGACTAACACATGGTTCAATTTTATTTTAAACCCACGAGGTTGGATATGCGACCCTACTCCTTGTCACGTACAACCGGGGATTCGAAACCACGCCAGCTGACTCAATGACAGAACTTATGATACAGCGCGTACGTACTAATCATTCGGCCAGCCACCCACCACCCACTTTTTTTTTTAAAGAAATGAAATGAAATGGGGTTTAACGTCCTACTGTTCTGCTCCTAAACTGGGCTAATGAAGACGGACATACGCCATACAGTGTGCTAAGAGGGAAATTTTGCCCGTTCAGCGGCGCTACGGCCTACTCTTATATCGAATTCCAACTGCCAAGGGATCTTTTACGTGCACGCCAATATGTACACGGGACCTCGGTTGTTCCTCCCATCCGAACAACTAGACAGCTGTCCTTGACGCCGGAAAATCTGGATGAACTTTCTCGGCCAATGTAGGAATCGAACACCCGACCTCCAGGCTAGCGAGCCAGCGTCTTACCCACTTAGCCCCCCCCCCCCTTTTTAAAAAAAAAGAAACTAAGCCTCTAACCCAATATTATCCATAATATTCGAAATTAAAAACAAGAATTAGAATTCAATTTTGGTCCATTTCAATCAATATTATTGATGTTTTAATAAAACCGTAAAAATATTAAAGCCTCGCATTAGCTATTTAAATTTGGACAGCTCGTATTTCACTTAACGTATGTAACAATCTGTGGAAATTACCCCGTCCCCTTTCCCCTTCCCAAAGAAAAATAAAAGAATCGCAATGTTAGAAAGTAAAATTAGAATTGAAGACTCAGACTAAATTTTTAAAGATGATATCGATATTTATCTGTTGTATCGAAATGTATTCATTATAATTATAATTTCGAATGAGTAAAAAAACCAATTCTTATAGATACACGCAGCAGCACATAAATTTTTTTTATTTTTGCCGAACACATTTAAGAAAATAAATAGAAATTCTTAATGGGATTACAATAAAAGAAAAGCATGCTAACCTGCTATTTGTAATGAAACCACCAGCAGCAGAGTGGAGAACAACATTCTCTGTCCGAAGAGTGATAACATTATGTGAAGTCTCGATGATATACTAATGAAAGCTGTTTATTTACCAGCTTATTTATACTCTTCGCCACGCCTTGTTTTTTTATATTATGTTTTAGGGCAGGTTTATTCATGATCAATTGATGTGATTAACAGATCCGGCATCGTAAACGTAACATCCTGGATTGCGTTGTCTGTAACCCACGTAAACTTATAACAAATCAAGCATAAATAAAAAATGCTGACACTCCCTTACAGGAGTTAGTCCAATCCGTGAGAACTTCGCTGTATTCTTTCGATTACTATGGCGATGATACAGGATGTAGGGTTAATAGTAAGTGTATTTGAAATTATCTCGACGCGTTCTGCTCGGTAATAAATTAAAAGTTCGAACAAATTGTCTTTTCTTTAATTGTCTTAGTGTCATACCTTTCTATACCATTTCTCCGGTCCTATTATCATAATTATGGAGTAAGAATGCGATAGAGTAATAATGTTTTTATTTTTAATCCATGTATTGTATAAATTGGTAGATTATGTGTTTCTATGCTGATCTTGATAAACATTTCGTTAAAGTGGTATGTATGCATGGTTTGGTACAATAATCATTGGATACATCAGAACACACGATGCGCAAATTTTACAATGGTCGATTTTTAAAACATTTATACCCCATGTCATAATAATGCAAATAGATAAATGAAGTCTAAAGGGGCCCATACACGTTCAATAATTCCGTCAATATTATTGACCCAATATATTGACTCAATAATATTGACAGGAATTGCCCACACACGATTCAATATTTCCATCATTTTTTGGTCATTTTTCAAAATGGATGCCATGTTTCCTCTTCCAAGGTTGACGATGGAATGAAAATATTGACGGAATTATTGACAGATTCTCCATACACGATCAATATTGTCATTCAATAAATTGATCGTCCGTCAATATATTGATGAACCATCAATAAAAATCAAAATGGTTTTGATCCATCATGCATTGACGCAATAATGGCTATTGACAATATTTTACATCAATATAGCCCACACACGTTCAATATTATTGAGTCAATATTTTGAGTCAATAATATTGACGGAATTATTGAACGTGTATGGGCCCCTTAAAAACGTCCTTATTTTCTGCACCGACCGGGTAGAGTGTGATACGCCAAGCAGTGTGCTATTGGGGGAATGTTGCCCGGACAACAAGTCTATTCCAGCTCTCAAGGGTTCTTTCACGTGTGCGTAAAGGTGTACCAGAACTTTCTCCGCCCAAGGCCATATTTCACCTGTATTATTTCCCCATTTACATCTATGTTTTATGTTAACACTATAATATTTACGGATATGAAGGAGTGGGGTCTTAACCAGCCAATGAATTGCATCGTCACACTTCACGGGTTACGGTTACACCGTGACGTCTTTTGGTTTGTTGTTTTCACCGTTACTTACATCTATGTCAACATAATAATAGTTATATAAAGCTGGAGGTGTGGGTTTTTCTAACCAACCAATGGGTTACATCGTGGCGTTGTTTTTTTTTAAAATATGAATAGTAAAGCTGTTTGCGATTTTTTATTAGCTTAGTCGGTGCAGAGAAGTAAGTCGGTTCATCTTCATTTCATCATTACGAATCAAAAGGTCGGTACTCACTAGATTAGTCATGTGTAAAGCAGCGTTGATAATTGTTATTAAAAGAAGCTAAATCGCTAATATTTGGGACCTAGAAATTGACACAAATGGGTCACAACGCATATAATAATGTAATATGAATGTATATAAACTGATTTACATGCAATCGTTTCCGTTTTTACGCTAATTTCAAATCAGTTGTGTTCAGCAAAATACGCCAGAAATCTCAATCGAATGGCAATCTTTAGCGTCTGGTTATTCCAGTCGACATCAATAGTATTTATTGCGCATGCTCTCCAGATAAGAATATAGTGTCACCGTTTGACATGACTTGTGGAATATGTCTACCCTCGTTCTTCGAGTCCCTTGTTACAAATGACACTGAAACGCATTATGGTACACGATTCGTGTACCAATGGTAAAATGTTTATTTTGTCTTAAATATTGGATATCAGAAGCCCATCTTTTCCCGGTAAGATCACAACATCAATGTTGATTTAAATGACAAATAATTCGTGTTTTCAATGTCGAAGACTTTGGATGATATTTAGTTAGAGACTTAGCTACTTTAAAATGGAGTTTTAAAGTGGACGATTTCTGTCTCCCTCGATTTGAACAATATTTTGAGATATTTGGTTATTCATTTTCATCGTGCAAAGCAGTGATGTGTTAAATGGAGCATGACGGGTCTGACTATTCATTTAATTTGTGCAAACCAGTGAGGTGTTACATAGGAATAGATGACAACCATCTTAATGCTAGGTTCCCACTATCACGATTTGCGCCAGGAAAATGTGTTTGCGGCCGTCATATTTTCCTTGGTTGGGGGGTGAAGGGGGTGGGTACTACACGGTAAACTTCGCTCCTTCGCCTCTCCTCTGTAACCCGGAATTTTTTCGGACATGTCAGGTTCTGCCCCCCCCCCCCACTCCCCCAACATTCGTCGAGCCTGTACGCCTATGTTCCAAAGTCTCAACCAATCAGAGTGAAGTAGAAAAACCGCGAAGACGCTCTAGATTTAGACACCGACCGTGGCACCTTTGTAAAAGTTTACTTTAATCCTGGCTAAGAAAGTGACTGGTAACAGAATAGATGTCAATAGGGTTCGTGGTATACGGTTAGCGTATTGGTCTTGAGTATGCTAACAGCTAAAAACGTCCCCATCGCACGTATTGCAATTTTCGATTTTTATTTCCATTTTCCTAAATTCCTTTAGCTAAATAAATAAAACTAAGATATATTAATTGATTCTGAATATTATGGACAATAAATCCGGCTGAGAAATCTATTCTGGAAGTCATCCGTGGAAATTATGGCCGGATTGAAGTTGCATGGGGCCCTTGCATCAACAGTGAAAAACGGACATAGGTTGGTCATTGTCCGTCACACACCAATTTAATTTGTATGTCAGTATGGTTGGTGATAGATTTATTTGGCACATTAGAACTATAATTTGGGCCAATGACCATAGCCCGGTGATCACCCCGCTTAATCCGGTTCTGGTGGCAATCGATTGGATGTTGGTTTCCGAAATATAATAAAAAATCTCTCAAAATATTAGCCCGCGTCTTTTTATCTAAAACTTGTGCCAAACTCCGGCACTTTTAGTCAAGGGGAGGTTTCTTCTAATGACAAACAAAATATATAATTACTACTCGGCCCGCCAGACTTGGTACGGGGACCCCCGAAACCAAATAACTAAAATTTATCTTCGTTTCTATTGAAATTTATAATGGCCTCCTGAGCAGAAAAATGATCAGTATGGCGTCAAGTATTCTTCACCGTGCGTGGTTGGGGCAAACGAAACCAGTTGGCCCGAGGGCCTCCATGTCATCAACTTTCGTATCCACTGAAATGTACATAACGGCCTCAAACGGAGAATAAAAATAATCTATGGGCCTAGTTTCATTTTCTCGTTATGTCACGCATTCTTCACCGCATTTGTCTTTGCATTTACGAGGACAGGGTAGGCGATTACCCGCCCAGCATGCCTCTGGATAGATTCAATTTCAGTGCTCATAGATCTATTTAAAATATAAGACGTTGCGTGGGTGTAAAATAAGGCCATAAATTGTACCGGCCTAATATCCATCAAATTTAACCACTTTATATACAATCCAATATTAAATGTATTTCCAGTTTCGCACCTTTCACAGAACAATCATAACAGTTTCATTTAAGTGCTCTTCTTGCCTATGTCCTGGAATTTTTAAAAAAAATACCCCCCCCCCCAAAAAAAAAATCAACAAAAAAACAAAACAAAACAGTAGGCGTATTTAATTTACACTTTCGACATATTAACTTTCGCTCAGCAATAACATGCAAACTACATTCAAAGGCAGAATGACACGCGAAGTCCTAAAATACAAACGTATTCACAGGCAGAATTTCACGCGAAGTCTTAAAATACAAACGTCGTTGCAGTAGATAATACAAGTTTCAGCAAACGATTTTCTTTCATTATACTTTTTACACTCTAATCATTAATACATAAGTATATAGCCGATCACCCTATGTGTTATGTTAGAGTTTAATAATACAATGTGTTTCACCTACTTAATTTTGTTCCCAAAATGTTAATTATAGCAATTAAAGCTATCGCCCTTTATTGTTGTTTTTTTTATTTGTGACGCCCTACCTCAATGGCGTTATTTGGCAGACGTTCGTTGTCAAGACGGGCCGAATCATTTACTTGGTTGTCTTCTGTAATCAATGCTAGGTTTTTCTTTTCTTTTTTTGAAAAATAATTTATGCCCTAACCATGTATTTTTAAACATATACTTGTGTTAAAAACTGAATATGGACAGGATTACTAGTCTGATTCCTAATGTGTATATTAGAGTACTCTCCCCTGTGTTGCGTGATCTACGAGTTCATTGGTCACCGATCACTATAACATTTTGTAGGTTCTCCCGTCGACTTTAAACCCGGATGTGAGGAGGTGACTTAGATGCCTTCTCATGTACAAACTGGGTGATTTGATAATATATTTGTACTAAAAACATATTCAAACTAATTAATTTATAAAAAATTTGCTCCAAACCTCTCTCAAAACATTATATTCTCGTGGAAATACCCCAAACTATATAAGTTCTATTTAAAGTGTCGATCCCACTCTTGTCTGTAACTAAATAAAATGTCCCAATCTTCATTCTGGTCAACAAATTGTACTATTATATAATATTCCAATTCATTGGTGGTATATATTTCATCTTATCAACGCTATTTAAAAAAAAACAAAAGGAAAAATTGAGCTAGACCGGTAGTGTTCTCACTGACTTCACTATCAAAGGGGTTTGTAAAACATTCTACGATCCGGAAAAAGTGGAATGAATCCATGGAGTTATAAATAGAACTGGAGGAAGTTCAATTACGTAGGCCCTTGGTCAACTAATGGGCGTGATCCACCACTTTGTAAGTGAGAAAGTTGGCGTCAGCTGAAAATGTGTTTTGTTTTCGGTTGCTACAACCGTTTTTCTAAGGATTCGACGATAAGTTACCATTCGTAAGTTTCGTTGGACATTTTATTTTATAAT